ATTTTAAATTTGATTGATCAACTTTATGATTATGATTTAAATTAATTACAGTGATTTTTAAGGTTGTCCCATTGCTTTGTAGCCGGATCTTAACCGGGCACTGTAAACACAGATGATGCTGCTGAATATCTATGTTTATGCAGTTTGGTTTTCTCTATCGAATGACGTTTACCCGAAATGTTTACCCCTTACCTGGGCTGAGATACTGAAATTTTAAAAAATGTTGAAAATTTAAAATTTAAAAATTACTTTGAAAGTTCAAATCTTTAGTTGGAGACTAAATGTTTTTTTCAAAATGTTCGTCTTTCAATGGTGAATACGAACATCACATTCTAAATTTGTTTTTGACGCTCAGTTTTGTTTTAAAGTCATTTTATACACCACCTGAATGTCAAAAACCATGGTTTTCTAGAAACCCTACATCGAGCATTTTGGAAAGAACTTTCTGCTAGACAAAAGAAAGAGCACGTCGAGAAACCCTTAAAGGCCAAAAATGAGAAAAAACGGATTGATAGTGTAGAATTTAGCCTAGGCCGACTTTCTTATGTACCACGCCTATTGCCACTCTCTGAGGGTGTCAATAAGAGCTATTGCCACTCTCTGAGGGTGTCAATAAGAGCTATTGCCACTCTCTGAGCGTGTCAAAAGGAGTCGTCGTATTTTAACTTATGAGTGTAAGTTCGGGTATGCTTTATGAATTTCTTTGCATTGAAGTTCTAAGGATGTTTTCCCTAAGGTACAACTGGTTATTGATGTTGCGGAGGTCAGCGTGAATCAGAGCTTGCATTGTTATTGGCTTCCATTGTTTATAAACATCAGCTGGACTAACAATAAATAAAGTAGGACAAATTAAATTTAAGCCATTTTTTAAAAAATGTATCAACATCTTCGACCTTATTCTTATTCTGAATATCAAGATATTTTTAAAAAGAGCAATGGTATTGTTGCACAGCTTGAACGGTTTGTTTCTCTCGAAACCAATACATTATTTGCAACACATTATACTACTGCATTAAAACTTGATTGTGAAAATATTAATAAAATTAGTCCTCATCTATTCGAAAATCAAAGCTATCTTGAAAATTCACAGATAATTAATTGGTTTTCAAAATGTGCTCCATTATATTCATTGAAAACGAATGGTAATTTGCCGATTTTCTTGTTTCTTACGATGATTTTTCGTTAAAAAGCATATTTTTCTGATTACTGCTAGTGGCAACTGGTTATATCATAATCTGTTTGACCTTAAACTTTGTTTTTCGGCTTTGCAGTCTTACTTAGCACTCATAAGGCCTATCTCAGTGGTTAGAAAATCAGAAACGCCAAACTGTTTAGCAACTCAGAACTGACACATTCTTTAAATTGATATTCCTTACAGTCGTCAACGGCAATAAATGTAATTGAAAATGTGATCATTTTAAATGTATTTAGTATATCATTTTGTGCTGCGTATGTTTGTTGTTTTCTTCTTTACGTTTTTTACAGGAGAAGGAAATTGTTTACTGGATGCTTGTTTGTTGCATATGATTGGCATACAAGATTCATCTTTAACACTTCGTCATCATTTATTAAATTATATTAAAACAAATGAAAGGGCAATTCATGATAGATGGAGATATTCGAGAGTGTCATTTGATCAAAAATTAGGAATTGATTTAGAAGATCATATAATGGAAAAAGTAAGCCGTTAACGGATAACAAATAGAATTTCACTTTGGAATATAAAAAGTCGGGTAGGCTTCAGACAGCAGTTAGAGAATAATTTTTAGAAATATCCTCGTGTTCGAAATTTCAGTACAAGTTTTGGAATCAAGATGTAGCAAAGAGTACTAATCAGAGAAAAAAATTTCCTCAGAAATTCTCTAATACGCTTTAGTTCGATACGAAATTTTCAATCGAGCCTTAAGAATGTTTGTTATATTTTCAAAAAAGCTCGTAGAAGAGGTGTGAAAGGATGATAAGCTTTTTATCGATGTTCAGTGTGCGTCATCTTCTTAAATCATTTTCTCAGTTCTTTGTCAAGCACAAACCCAGAAAATTCTGAAAAGTTTAGTGCTGTTTTAATTTCGTTGCCTATGCTTCAAAAATCAAGTTTGACTGCGAAGGGAAACCACGAACTTTTTCAAAGGATGCAGTTCGATTCATTTGAGGCTGGAAAGTTTTGCTTTTTTACTGCTGCTATCACTCGCATTATCGAATGTTTGCGTATTCGGTCAGTCCTCTTTCAGGAATGGAACGATATTATTGCCGAAACCGAAGTCGTTGATGGTAGAAAATGTAAATTTTTACAGTCTTGCCATATATTCTCCACCGCAAACATGCTTAAACGACCAATTATTGTGTTAGGACATGAATTCATTAATACGGTCAATGAATGTAATGTGCAGTTGAATGACTTGGTCGGCATTTACTTGCCTCTTTTGTCAACAGCCAGTAACACCATTCATTATCCCATTGTATTAGGCTACACAAGCAATCATTTCACGCCTTTAGTTATGCGTGAAAATCAGAGTTCAGATTTAACATCATTGTGTTCATATTTACCATTGTCATTCTTATCATCTTCTATTAATACATTGTTGTTACGTGACTTACCAGTTCATTATTTAAACTATCTCGAGGAAAACAATATTAATAATCTGTTAAAAAAATATTTAGTTATTGATGATATTCAATCTGATAGTGGAGAGATTGTTAGATGTTGTGCATTAAGCGAAGAAAGATTACCTGAACACGTCAACGCTTTAGATAAATATATACAATATTTAAAAGAAAATTTACCAGATGAAGTAAAAATGAAGAATCCACCGAAACAAAGCGATATGGTAAATACGTGGTTTTTTGCTATTTATAGCAGCTGTGCTGTTATTCTTCTCAAGACGTGAGAAAGCAGAATAAACACAAACCAACGAGATCAAACGAAAACCAGATGAAAGTGGTAAAATTTTCAGGTGATCTTCCAATTTAAAATGCCGAATCTGGGCTAATGGAGGATTACCTAAATTTTATGCGAAGGCACGGCGATTTTCGCGCGGGAAGTAAATAGTCATAAACAGAAGGTTTTTAAAGAGCGCATATAAAATGAGGCAGGTCAGCCATGAAACAGATAGAGCTGTGGTTACTATGTAGATCTTATTTCTCTTATGTGTTCTTAGCATCCTCAACGGTATGCGTGCTAAATGAACTGCTCAAGTCACCGAAGTCTAGGTATTGTACTTTTGTCGAAAAATTACAATAGGCGTGTTCTCATTGTTTTCAATAAAGTAACCTTCTACAATGCGATATGTGCACCCGTTCCTCGAGAACGGGTTGTTTTGATATTCTTGCTTGCTCAGTCTTGTAGTTGAAGATATAAGTGACATGATTTACTGTACCATTTGTGTACGTTTCTTTGTCTTTTCTATATTGCGTGTCTTTTTGAAGGATACTGATCCTGCCAGTGCTAGTACAAGTACTGCTGTATTTTGTGTTGGTGATACATTTCATTCGTTTGAAGAGTTTAAACGTAAATTAAATAATTATTCATCTGAAACCGGAGCAATGTTTTCCATCGGTCATTCAACAAAACTAAAGCATACATCAGAATTAGTTTATGAAACTATTGTATTTTATTGTTGTCATGGTGGTAAAATACGGAATCGTAGTAATGGAATACGGCCGCAGCAGCATCATCTGTGTTTACAGTGCCCGGTTAAGATCCGGCTACAAAGCAATGGGACAACCTTAAAAATCACTGTAATTAATTTAAATCATAATCATAAAGTTGATCAATCAAATTTAAAATTTTATGCTCGTCACCGTCGTTTGGATAATGACACTATTGAATTAATAAAAAAATATGATAATCACAAAGTTCCTCGAAATATTATTCGTGACATGGTTATGAATGAAAATAAAGACAAGTTCGCCACTGTAAAAGGTAATTTTTTTAGAACTGGTTTTTAGGTTACAGTAAGGCTGTGTGTTGCGTATGTCGAGACACACCTCAGTCAAAAAAGCATTCAACCTGGAGGAGAATATAGTCCTAAAAAGATTTTTTAGATGTACAATAGCTGCCATGTAGAGAATGAAATATAAATCGTGTTAAATTTGCTTGAACCATAACAGATCATGTGTACACTTTAAATCTGCTTTCGAACTATCTGATAAATTTAGATGACATTTCTCATCAGAGAGAGTTAAAACCCTAGAAAATATTTTAGTTTGTAGAGAAATGAGTGCCTTTCTATATAAATCCTTTAGAGCTTGAAAACATTTAGAGGTAATTCATAAGTCAACAGGAATTGTTGAAAAGCAGATGTTTAGATAGCTTTGTAAAAAACTTAAGGGAATATTAACCGCTTCTCATGTGTACTTTATGACGAAGTTTTAAAATCGTTTTAAAATGACATATCTTACTCAGAATTGAGCTCTCTATCGCATGAAGTGTGACTCGACATGTGCGACAAAACCAACTATAAAGTCTGATACACTATCGATGAAATTACCTTTAAAGACATTTCAAACATTCTAAACAAAACAACAACAAACAACGTACCGGAGCAATCAACTGTAATTGAAAAAATATTGAATGACATGAAACGTTTAGATTCAACAGCAACCGTTGATGTCACTGTGTCAGATAATAATCAGCTTGATATGATATTTATTGCAACATCTAAAATGAAAGAAAATTTTAAACAATTTTTTCATATTGTATTTTTTGACGCAACTTACAAGATTAATATAGAAAGCTATTCATTATATGTATTTTTAGTTGAAGATAGTCGTGGTACAGGTATGTGCGTTCACACCACTAAAGTCTCGCAATTTAAAATGCCCAAAATGGTCTCTTGAAAGATTATCCGTCTATTTAAGGAGAGTGGATCAAGTATTTTTTAGCGGAACATCTGACTGCTCCCACTTCAGAAGACATACATGGTTAGTCTTAGTAGTTAAACCTACCGAAAATCTATTGAGTGGTAAAAGTTAGCTTTTTAATGATGTCTTGTGTCGAGCTTCAAATTGCTATGTGTTGGAATCTTTGTTTGAGAAGGGTATTCTCAAATTTGTTCCTTTTCCTGAATTTGTCGTAAATCTATGTCAAACTAGTCTGCCCTCATTATACAATGCCTTATTAGAACTAAACATCATGCATTTGCTGGTTTTGTGATTTTTTTCAAGGGCAACCAGTTGGAATAGCATTATTAGCCCACGAATCACAAGAAAATATACGTGAATTGCTATCAAAATTTCAACAAACATATCCAGGTAAAAAGATGAGTTATGACTCAAAAATGATGCACATGTACGAAGCCTAGTAACGTATTTATAAAACATAGTCAACAATCCCACTGTATACGTCGTCTAAGTAACCTAAGTTTGAGCATATTTTTGTCTTTTTTCACTTTTTGTCATATAGAGTATGACAAAATTAATACATTTATGGTTGATAAGGACTTCAATGAAATAAAATTAATCACTGAATTATTCCCATCATCAACAGTTTTACTCTGCTACTTTCATATTGTTAAAAAACTGAAGGAACAAATTGCAAAATTGCCGATTAATATTGATGAAAAAAAGGACATATTAGATTCGTCAAAAAAATTGATTTATAGTCAGAATCAAGCAGAGTTTGACAATAATGCTTACAATTTACGCCAGGCTGCTTTAAACACCACCTATTGGACATATTTTGAACAAAACTGGATGACATGCACAAATTTATGGGCATTTTTCAAACGAAAAGATTCTTTATCATTATTAAATAATACAAATAATCGTATTGAATCTTTTTTTCGTGTAGTTAAACGCGAATTTAGACGACGTAATAAAATACCGCATTTAAGTAAAGCGTTAAATATTCTAATGATGCTTTTTAATTTGAAAACACATATTCAAGATTTTGAAAATGTTCGTCAAGAATTAACATGTTTTACAATACAAAATACAAAATATCCTGAATTTATGAAAGAGTGTGGACATATTTTGACTGGTAAGACTATTTCTTTGTTCGTTGCATTGAATGTTGCGGACTACAATGTTTTTTTTATATCAGCTGGACTGTATACAGCAGTGATGCCGAGCTACTCAATTAGAGATAAAAATTTTGTTAATTTCGTTAATTCTTTCCAGAAAATAATTTGTAAAAAACGTCATAAAGAGCTCGGAGACATCTCATTTTGTAGAGAATTGTTTGCTCTATCATTCTACGTAGTTTGAACAAAACTTTATTTGCAGGTTCCAGGTGCTGAAACTACAGTGGTTACAAAAATTGATCAACTTGATGTATTTTCGATTTTTTTCCGCAGCCATAAACTCTAAAAAAGTTTCAGATAGTGACTTGAGTAGAGAAATGGTACAGTAAATCATGTCACTTATATCTTCAACTACAAGACTGAGCA